AGCCGCGGGCCCTGGACCGGCCAGGGGCAGCGCCTGCAGCTCAGATGCAAACGGCGCCCTGCGGACCGGGCAGCGCGGTGCCCCAGAAGCCAGCGCCCGCCCAGGGCGAGGGCAGGGGCACAGCACTAGGAAGCCAGCTCGCTGCGGGGCACCCCGACGCCTCATGGCAAGTGCGATCCCCCCCAGCGCCAGGGAGGGACCCCCAGGCCGCGCAGACCCCTCCTGTCTCGCCGCGGCCCCTTCAGCCGTGGGCTTCAGTCCCTCGGCCTGTCCTGCTCCCCACTCTGGGGAGTCCTCTCATGCCCCCCTCACGCCTCTTGCCTGTACCCCAATTCTTGTGTGCATAAACAAATCTTTTAGTATTTAAAAATAACCCCCCAATTCTCTGCTTAGAAGGAACTGTGTGCCCGTGTGCCCCCGGGTTAGAGCGCAGCACCATGAAGCCGTCTGCAGCCACAGCAGCGCGAGTTCGATCCCCGGCCCGGAGGGGACCCCCAGGGCGCGGCAGGCCCCCCCTGCCTCCCCGCTGCGCCCCTCAGCAGTGGGCTTCATCCATCTGCCTGTTCTGCCCCCCGCTCTGTCTCTGGGGAGCCCTCTCACCTCTGCACCTCTGGCCTGCGCCCCAGCTCTGTGCACACAAATAAATCCTTAAGAAACGATAATATTAAATAAATAAAATGCAGCGTGGCCGAGTCGCGCCAGAGCTCGGTGGGTGATGCAAGAGGACCTGGCGTGGGTGCGTGAGCGTCCAGGGCTGGACTCCCTGGCTCGCAGCGTGGAAAAGGCCCCTGGGGGGGCTCAGGGCACCGACGGCCACCACGGCCGTGCGGACACCGCCGTGCGTCTGGAGGGGCGGGCGGGCACCCCGCGGGCCCTGGGTCTCGGAGGTGACGCCGAGGGCTTCCTGAGCGAGCGGGGCGCTGAGCGGGCGCCAGGCCGCAGCTGGCGGGGAAGCAGCAGTGGAGTCCAGCGGCGTCGGGGTCTCGGAGGCCGCCTCCCGCGTGGGGCTCGCGCTGGCGGTCATTTTCCAGGAGAGAAATGATAGATACTGGGGTTTTTTTCAGACCAAAGAACCATTTTCTCTGTTGCTGAGATTTATTTGATGTACGCAGGCAGAGCTGGGGTGCAGGCAGAGCTGGGGTGCAGGCCCGGGCACCGTGAGAGGCTTCCCCAGAGCGGGGAGCGGGGCGGGCCGATGGACAGACCCCTGCGGAGGGGCAGCGGGGAGACGGGCCGGGTCTGGGGGCGTCTGGGGGTCCCTCCCCGGCCGGCCTGCAGTGCTGTGCACGCAGAACCGGGGTGCAGGCCAGAGGCCCAGGGGCGGCGAGAGGGCTCCCCAGAGACAGAGCGGGGGGCAGGACAGGCCGATGGACAGTGCCCTGCTGAGGGAGCAGCGGGCGGGTCGGGAGGGGTCTGTGGCGCCCTGGGGGTCACCCCCGGGGCAGGCGGGGATCGAACTCGCCCCCCGAAGGCTGCAGCGGCTTCCAATTCTGGTGCTGGAGGGCTGCGCTCCAGGGAGGGCCCCATTTTTCACTTTTCCCGAGTGTGCAGAGGGGCAGCCCGGCTGGGCTGGACGGATGGCCCTGCCCTCGCTCCGCCTGGCCGGTCTGAGTAGCTCCCGGGCCCAGCCAGGGAGGCCGAGCCGCCCTCCGGCACCCCCGTTCCCGCTGCACCCCGTTCCCGCACACAGACACCGCGGCTGGGGGGCAGCGGGAGGCCTCGAGGGTCCGCTGTG